ACTTTAGTCTCTAAAATGTCTTAGTTGTTCATGTGAACAGAATTTTTGAAATCTTTACAAGACCATAAATTGCAGAATACACAGTTATCTACATATTTTTTGTTTGTTTTTATTTTTATTTTAAATGTATTTATTTAATTTCTGGGTTACAAAACCTGAGGTGGCCTAGCATTTCAGGTGGTGGCCCCAAGGCTCTGATGGCCCTTCCTCTGTCCCTTCACTGACTCCACAGACTCATTTATAGGGTCAGTATTATGTGTTTCTCAGGCATGTAGTTCAATTCTATACTAAAATAAAGTAACTGTGTCACCTTCAGTTGTTATGAAAATGCTGTCAATTTGTATAAAGCTCACGTCGGACCCGGAAGAGTGAGTAGAGAGATGATGTTTCAGCTTGGTAAGAGTTGTCATCCTTGTATACACACATGTAATGATCGTGATATAATGGTAACTGTAGAYSACAGATAGACCAAACAACCAAACAAAACAGCGYAAGTTGTTTTTCAGCTTACCTGGGCAGGTGACAGCTGTGTTTGTGTCATTGAGTGTTGGAATCGCATCGTCTTTTAGTGATAATCTTATTAGTCCACTGTTAAATTCCATTTTGTTCAGAAAGCTATCATCTGTAAAGTGACTCACACAAATAAATACCTTTTTTTTCGTCAGAGGGTTACTTCCAAAAATTAAATTAAACCATTTCTTAAGAACTGTTTCATCCTTGGTATCTGAAAATCCATTTCCTCAAAGGGATTTTTTTAATCTGAAAAGGACCAGACTAAGAAGTAGTTAGTATTATGAGCTCAGCAGACAAGAGGTTTCACCAGGTGTTTGTTGTTGTGGGGGAGGTGTGTTCTGTGATGATGAAGCTCAGCTTGGAGACACAGCCCAGAGGAGGAGCTGCACCTAAAAGGCAGTTCTTGGTCCAACCAGCTGTTTTTGTTCTCCTGGATGGCTGCCTCAGGACAGTACAGTATTTCTCAAACATGCATGAATGAGTCAAAGCAAGACTCTGGGCATGWTTTTGATGAGAGAATGACATTATAATATGATATAAAGCTCAAAAACGTTTTACATGATACTGCCCCTTCAAGAAATGTCTAAAGACATTTTTATTCTGAGAGGCTTTTAGTTAAGTTTTGTTTTCAGGTTTTTCAGGGTTCCAGCAGATCCTTAAAAAGTCTCAAAATGTGTTGAATTCATCAATCTAAAACTAAGGCCTTAATTAGCTTAAAATGTCTTAAATTAAACTTTCAGMGGTCTTATAAATGTTAATACATTGTAATCAAGATGATTTTAATTTGTCTCAAATATTAAAATAATTGATAGCATTTATTTATTATTTGAAATAACTAACAGAATGCCTC